GGCAGGAAGGTGTGAATCAGTTCCCTGATGCTCCATCCTGGCTGGAAGCCCTAGTGTTTGTAACTCAACTCCATGGTATGGAGAAGTCCATTCAATTAAAGCCAGCACCTACATAAATGGGTTTTGCAGGTGGGAACTCCAAACACCACTCTCCTTCATTTCTTCAGCCTTTCTGTACCTAAACAGGGCTTAGGTTTATAAAAGGATTAACTTGAAGGGCTAAGGATGTGTTTTGGTAGGTAGAACACTTGTCTTGAAGGCTGCAACAAAAGGCAGTCCAAATACCCTTGAAAGAGTACACCCAGCAGAAACAAGCTTGACCACTATGCCATCATCAAATGCCCCCTGACCACTGACTCAGCCATCAAGAAAATAGAGGAAAACAACACACTTGTGTTCATTGTGGATGTCAAGGCTAACAAGCACCAGATCAAACAGGCTGTGAAGAAACTGTATGACATTGATGTGGCCAAAGTCAATACCCTGATATGGCTTGATGGAGAGAAGAAAGCATATGTGTGGTTGGCTTCTGATTATGATGCTCTGGATGTTGCCACAAGATTCTCTCTCTCTTTTTTTTTAAATAATTTATTTCATGTGCATTAGTGTGAAGATGACAGGTCCTTAGGATTTGGGGTTGCAGACAGTTGTGAGCTGCCATGTGGGTGCTGGGAATTAAACCCGGGTCCTTTGGAAGAGCAGACAGTACTCTTAACCACCAAGCCATCTCTCCAGCCCTCAAGCTAGCTAATTCTAAATATATACTTTTTTACCATTTGAAAAAAAGATAGAGGCTGGGCATGGTGGCACACATCTTTAATCCCAGCACTCAGGGAGGCAGAGGCAGGTAGACTGTTGTGAGTTCAAGGCCAGCCTGGTCTACAGAGTCCAGGATAGCCAAGGCTATACAGAGAAACCCTATTTATAGGCAAAGACATATAAATCCAGCTTCTTGTGGTGTGGTGCGAACAGCAAGAAGACCAATAGTTTAAAGCCTGTCTTGTATAGGCCAGCTTGGTCTATAGAGCAAGTTCCAGGACAGCCAGGGCTACACAGAGAAGCCTTGTCTCAGAGGGAGAAAAGTTCTATCATTGAGTTCTAGTTGCGCTAGAACTCAATGATAGAGCCATTGCTCAGCAGAGGCTCTAGATTCAGTCCTGGGTTTAAAAAGATGCTCCATCACCACCTGGCTAGTGACTTTTATTTTGAAAAAGTATATATAATTAAAGGAATGTAAGATTGTAGAGCTGGTAGATGATGGTTGGAATTTCAGCCTGCAGTCCAGAAACTTTCACATTTTGTCATTGAAGAATAGTTCTGAGTTGTGTGTGTCCATTGAGACAGCAGCTACTACAGCACTCTTCAGCTTTCCCCACAGGCATTAGGAAGCCTTATCCAGCCTGTGCCTTTCTAGCCTTGCATCTTCCTTTTAAATATTTATGGATGCTTGTATATGAACCTAGGTCAGGCCCTACATTTGGTTTTGCAAGATAGAAGAGAATATTCAGTGAAACTAAGTCTCTCAGGACCCAGGAAGATGGCTCAATGGATAAAGATGCTTGCCACTTATGACAGTTAAGTCCCTGGGACCCATGTGGTAGAGGAAATGTAGAAGCAGTTGGTAAGCTTAAGGAAAAGAAAACTCTTGTTAGGCAGCTTCAACTCACAGTCCTAAGTAAATCCTTGTCCCAAGCCCTCTTTAATTTAGTGGTTCTTTTCAGAGGTGATTTTCCTATATAAAAACAGAAACAACTTTTTTTTTTATTAAACAAGTTTTATCTTCAGATCATCCCATAATAGTACACATATTGTAAGAGGTGCCTTGTTTTTGACACTTGCATATGGGTTCTATTATATGGGAATACCATCATTTAGACGCCATGCTCTTGAAAGGGTCAGCTGTTGGGCTGGCAAGATGGCTTAGAGGCTACCAAGCCTGATGACCTGAGTTTGATTCCTCAGGATTCACATGGGTGAAGAAGAGAACCAACTCCTGCAAGTTGTCCTCTGACCTCCACATGTATACTTTGGCACATGCCTGCCCACACATATGCATATACTTACACACAAATAAAATGTGAAAAAAAATTAGTTGGGTGTGGTATTGCATACCTTTAGTCACAATACTCAGGAGGCAGAGACCAGTGGATCTCTGTCATTTGAGGCCAGCCTGGTCTACAGAGAGAGATCAAGACTAATCAGGGTGACATAGTAAGACTCAATCTCAAGAACAACAAGTAAGGCTGGAGAGATGGCTAAGCAGTTAGCCATTGTCTGACAAAAGCATTGTCTGTTCTTGCAGAGGACCTGGATTCAATTTCTAGCACCCATTTGACGGGTCACAGCCACCTATAACTCTGGACACTCTTCTGGCCTCTGTGAGCATCTGGCATGTATGTGGTACACAGATAAAATGCAGGCAAAACACCCATATACATTTAAGAAAAGCTCAAGACTCTCTGCTGGCTAGCATTTACATCATCTTGACGCAGGCCAGAGACATTTTGGAAGAGGGAACTTCAGTTAAGACTAAATTGAGAAAATGCCCCCAGATTGACCTGTGGACCTGTAGTATATTCTCTTGATTGATGGGCCCTGCTCATTGTGGGCATTGCCACCCCTGGGCTGGTGGACCTGGAGGCTATAAGAAAGTCAGCAAACCAGAAAGTAACACTCCTCCACGGACTCTGTACCAGCTCCTGCCTCCAGGTTCCTTCCCTGTTTGAGTTCCTGTCCCTACTTTCTTAGATGATGGACTGTGATTGGGATATGTAAACTGAAATAAAGCCTTTCTTCCTGGGTTGCTTTTGGTCATGGTGTTTTATCACAGCAATAGAAATCTTAGCTAATACTGATACATTCTGTATCAGAGTGAAAAGAGAGTTGAGTATGTATGTAGTTCATAGATAGGGATTTGTCTAATGTTCATAAGGCCTTGGGTTCGGTTCCCATGCAGTTTGGGACGACAACAGACTGGGCCTGCTCTCATCCTTGGTCAGAAAAGCTTCTTTTTGTAGTGGGCAGCAGTAGGCAGAGATGTAGACCTGCTCAGAGTGCTGAGAAAGAGACTGAGGTGTGGGTACCCATCCCTAGAAAGGACAGCTATATTAATTACCCCCACCACACACACAAGTGCTCAGGGAACATCTTGGGAGGATGGGGTGGAGTGCTGCAACTTGCGAGCTTCTTTCACATACTGGCTGTGAGGATCATGATCTCACAGCAGCCAGCTTACCTGCTCTAGACTTACACAAGATGGAGCCAGCCAGGACTTTGGTACAGACGGTCTCAGGCCCCACCCCATACTGGGGCACTTCTGGCAGTGGATAGTTGCTGGGAAGGGAGAATCACTCTTTATGAGTTTCCCACGCTCCGGTTGGATGATCCCAGACCTGTGACCCTATGGACAGCACTAACTGGAGTTAGTGGGTTATTTTAAAAAAAGAAAGAAAAAAGGGATGGGGTGTGTTGAAGGGATATGAAGGAAATTGAGGGAATTAGTAGATATTTCTTTAGGTACGTTTATGGAATTCTCAACCAGGTGGTGGTGGTGCACACCTTTTAATTTCAGCACTTGGGAGGTAGAGGCCAGCCTGGTCCACAGAGCAACTTCCAGGACAGCCAGTGGTACACAGAGAAACTGTCTCAGAAAAAGAAAACAAATAAATTTACAGAATTCACAAAAATAAAGAAGAAGTTACAAGCAAAGTTTGAAAATTTGTTTTGTATGAAACAAAGATATAGTATGTGTATATGAATGTGATTGTGGGTTTCTGTGTGAACACTTCTCACATGCAACTTTAACTGCAAAAGAAGCTAAAAGTGGAGCTGCAACACAGAGGGCTGGAGCTCTTGGAAGGCTGGTATCTGCAACTAAGTCTCTTGCCTGGGTTTGTAGCAGTGGGTGAGGCTGTGAGGTTCCCCCATCCTCTCCCAGGAGTTGAATGAGCTTTAGGGGAGGACTTGCCTTTTTGTTTGTTTTTCCAGACAGGGTTTCTCTGTGTAGCCTTGGCTGCCATGAAATCGCACAAGGATCCACTGCCCCGCCTGATTAAAGACGTGGCCACCATGCCCCGCTTGGGCTTGCATCTTTTAGTGTAATTTTATTTATGTATTTGTGTACATATGTGCATATACATATTTGTGGGCACACGTGGAAGTCAGAGGATGACTTAAGGGAGTGAGTTCTCTGCCACCGATATGGATCTGAGGTTGCGCTTTATCAATAGGCCTTGGCAAGTTCTTTTACCAGCTTACTCATCTCCCCACCCTTGGCCTTGTACTTTTAAAATAGAATGATAACGAACACTTTGATCACCTTTGTGAGGAATGATGGTTACTGCATTTGTCTGCTATTAAACTAAAAATAACTAAAGATAATCATGGTCGTTTCCCCAGTGAAATGGACAGATTTAAGTCTGAGCCTAGTTTGAGGGACTGGGGGTTGAACGGGTCAGCATTCTCTCTCTCTCTCTGGCCGACAGTGTGGTCTCTGGAGACATCAATAGACTTGCTTTCTGCTAGGCTTGGGTTGGAGAAAATTGAGAAATGGGGGGAGGGAGTGATCTAGGAGTATTGCTAAGGGCCCCGAATCACGTTGAATGTGGTGGTGAGTGGCATTCTCGAAGCTGCCCTGGGGAGAACAGGAAGTTGCCTTCAAAGACGAGCCTGCTCAGATTCCGCAAAATGAACCTGGTCTGTACTTCCCAGCGGACTTGCTGGGCTGCAGGCAGGAAATACTCCGCCTGTGATTGGAGGATTGGTGCTGGTCGGATAAAGAACCCGGTAGTGTCGGTAGAGGTGATTGGCCAGGCCTTGCTGCAGTGAGAATGCAGACTAGATGCTCTGTCCTGGGCTTGCAGAATGAGCGAGGACGGCTGAATGACTGGGAGCCCCAAGTTTCCGTCTCCAGGAGAGGTCTGTCTGGATATCATTTTTATTTAAAAAAAAGAAAAAAGGAAGAGCCAGGCCTTTGATCCCCGCCACCTGCCGAAGTGAGTTTTGATTGAAGTAGCCCAGCTGCTCTCCTTACTGCAGCAGCCGGGGAGGCTCCCTAAGTGAGCTACTTCTCAGGCTAGGCACGAGCGAATTTGAAAAAGCAGGAACAGCCCCTGCATGTAGAGCGTCAGCCTGGGAACTCCCTAGACAGCTGTGTAGCTAGAGACCCTCGGTATTGTGGTCACATCCCTAAGAAGTGGACATCAGCAGCAGTGGCATTTGGAGGAAGCCGGGATGCTACAGATGCTGTGGCATTTTCTGTCTAGCTTTTTCCCTAGAGCTGGGTGCCAAGACTCCAGAGAGGGCATCGATCATGGAGTCAGAGGCACTCAGGCTCCTGCTCAGGGAGACCAGATGTCCACCTTTTTGGGGAAACAAAACGGAAGGGCTGAGGCCACGGAAAAGAGACCCACCATCTTGCTGGTGGTCGGACCTGCTGAACAGTTTCCTAAGGTAACAGCACCTTCAAGAGGACCTTATAGTTTAGGGGCTGGGTTGGGATAATTTTCCCAAAAGGGGAAAAAGAATGGGTGTGGGTGGGAGAACTTTAAGGAAAAAGAAAGAAAAAAGAAACAGTTTGGTATTGGAGAAATGTTGGGTGATAAAGAAGGCCACAAATTTGGTCCAAAATGTCTGTCACCACTGTAAAACTTTCTTATCCACTGTGACTGACCCTGCTTGGTTGTTGAGAGAAAAGATTTACTTTTTTCAGTAGATTAGCCTTAGGAATTGTCTGTCTCACTGAACAAGTCATTTGAAAGTAAGTGACAAACTAAAGCATATTGTCTTCACTTGCCTGGAGAGTGTGAAAGGATCAGTTGAAAGAGAAGGTGGCTTGAAAGGGGACATATTTGATTTTTTAAATTTTTTCATTTTTATTTTTGAGGCAGGGTCTCACTATGTAGCCCTGGCTGTCGTGGAACTCATTTTGTAAACCAGGCTGGCTTCTGAACTCATAGAGATCTGCCTGCCTCAGTCTCCTAAGTACTAGGATTAGAAGTGTGTCCCACTGTGGAGGGCTAAAAGGGAACAGATCTTGTCAGCATCTTGAAGGTCACATTCTCCTTGCCTGCTGGATTTACTTTGGTCCCAGAGAAAGTTCAGGGATGGGGCTGGGTCCTAGATCCTGGAGTCATGGAGGAGTAGAGGCTGGTGGCTCTTGAATTGACCACAGCCACCAGGGTCAGCCAAGTGTCAGGACCTTTTGTCCTTGCATCTGTACCTCACAGGAGCCAAGGTAAGTGACAGCACTCCCCAGTTGGAAGTGTGGGAGACGTAAAGAACAGAAAAGTTCGGTAATTTGCCCAGAATCACTCAAGGCGAGGAAGTGCTGAGACTTGACCCCAGTCTTTCTGGAACCTTGCTTACTTCCTTCAGGAAACTGTTTACTAGGACTGGCCGGGCTCTCACTTAGAACAGCTGCAGGCACAGCCTTATACAATCCCTGGGTTTCTTTCTGGAATCTTCTTCCTCAATCAGAAGACAAGGAGAGTCTATCCCAGTGTTTGGCATATGCTAGATGCCCCTAAAATGTCTCGTTGACTCCCTGTAAGTGCTTGTCTAGCCTGCACCAGTAGACAGGGACTTTACTGTGACTTGTTTTGCAGTTTTGGAGCAATGACACTCAGGGGATTCCTTAGACGGTGATGAGACCCTTGTTGTCAGGGTCTTACAGAGATTGGGTCCTGCCTAAGATATTTGAGCTTAATGTTCTGTAAGAGGGTGCCACTTTCTACCTCTTGCTCAACTTTACATGGGACCAGAAACAGTGGTATGCTCATTTTTGTGAGGAGCTCATGTTGATCCCTGCTCATCTTTTAGTGGGCTGCCTTTTAAATTTTTAAATTTAATTAACTTCTCTATTTCCTAGCTTTCTATGGATGACCTTTGCCAGGTTTGCCCCTATTACCTTGGGTGGGACTTTCTAGCCTGGCCTGCAGAGATCCACACTATTCTTTGGCTGTTTCCTGAAGGGGAAATGGATTGGTGGGCTGTGTGGGAAGGGCAGGAGGGACATAGGGCAGCTAGTGTGGTTAAAACAAGAGAGTCAGGACCTCTAGCCAGCATAGACTCTTTGAAAGTCAGTAATGATGAATAGAAACAGACAGCATTTACACCACACAAAGTGCCCACAAGATGGGTGGGGCTCTGCCTTTCTGGGCAGGAAGCCCCCAGCAAGCTTGGGAAACCTTCTGGAAGACCTTTGGTTCTCAGGCTTCTCACTGTCCACTGCATTACCTCTTTCTTATCACCCCCACCCCCATGTATAAAAATATGTGTCTGTGAGCCAGGTTCCTGCAGGTCTTTATTATAGGAACTGCTCCAGTTTCCCGTTTATCTTTGTCTCACAGTTAATCCGAAGTTGGGAAAGAAAGCCATTTGTCTGGAGTGGGAGGTGCCCTTACACAGCAAAGCTTAGATCCTGAGGGGCCTGTCTTCTCGGAAGCCCAAGATTGTGTTCATTGTGTGTGTAATTACCAAGTGTAGGCAGGTTTCATTGGAAACCTGCTACACTGGGCTGTCATGGCAACCTGATCATAAAATGACAGAGCAGCCAATGATATTTGAGAGCCTTGAGGGTGGGGCTTGCCAGGCTCCTTCACATAATATTTCTGGCTTGATCTGAGTCATTGCAGAAGAGCGGGGAGTTACTTTCTGAACCAGTACTATCCTCCTAGAGACATAGTACCAGCCCTCTTCTTAGTGTCTTCCAGCCCTTATAAGAAGTTCCTGTTTGGGGGATTAGGCACATGATAGGGTGATAGGATGAGGAAAGCTGATGGTGGCCCTGGCAGATCGAGTGAAAAGATACTCATGAAGGAGCTGCCCCTTTACCTATTAAATGAAATCTGATGCCACTGAATTCTAAGGGTTCTAATGCAGCAGCCATCATTTTTGTATATTAGTCATAGGGATGGGCATCAGAGGACAGGAAACAGATATGGGTCACCAAACTAAATAGAGTTAGAAAAGAGAGCAGAAAAGAGCAGTGTGCTGTGTTCAGGTCCCGAGGGTCCTGAGCTGCCTAGAAATGACAGGAAGTGGGACCCAAGTCTGCTGTCACATGAGACTCACATTTGCAGTGTGATGACATATTAATCACAGAGATCTCAATGTTGGGCTGAGTGGCTGTTGTAACAGGAACCTGGCCCTGGTTGTAAACCTGAGTCCTGTCACTCTTAGGCTTGGGACTTGGGCAAGTCAGGTCATTCTCTAGGGTGATTTGCTCTAGGTAAAGATGACTGAGATGGCTGCAGAAGCCCCTAGTGGCCTGCAGTCTGTAGTCCCAGGACAGAGCAGTTGCCTCAGACACTAGGTACCTAGAGATTGACTCCTTCTGGAAGAGTCCATTTCTGTGTGGAAGATGGAATTCTGGGTTATAAGATGGTGTTAAACATCAGGCTTGTGAAGACCTCTCCTTTGCTTCATTTTCTTTTGGAGAATAATGTTTGGATATGGCAGCAAAAACTGCTTGTGTAGTCCAGGCTGGCCTTCAACTCTGTCTCCTGAGGACATAGATTCAAATAAGCGCCACTGTGTCCAGCCTCTGTTGAACATAGTCTGAGCACTCAAATTACAGTGACAAAAGAAAAAAAAATGTCCTCAGGTTTCTTAAATTAATGGTAGTGGTTCATGTCTGTAGTTCCAGCACTGGGGGAAGGCCAAGGTAGAAGATTCTGAGTTCAAGGCCAGCCAGAGCTACATAGATAAACTGTCTCAAAATCATAAACAACTTATGTTGGACCTGTGGGTGTGGCTAAGTTATAGAGTACTTGCTAACATTCAAGGCCTTGGGTTCAGTCTCTATCACCACAGAAAATTAAACAGAACTAATGTTAGAATAGAATTGATATATCATTGTAAAATAACATGTAGACAGTAACTTGCAGAGCATATCAGAGAACATTCTATGCCTCTCTGAAACTATTGGTGTGTGTAGGATGACCTTTATTACAGTCTAGGAAGTTTCCTGTTTTTTTGTTTGTTTGTTTTTGTTTGTTTGTTTGTTTGTTTTGGGACAGGATTTCTCTGTGTATCCCTGGCTGTTCTGGAACTCACCAGACTGTAGACCAGGCTGTCCTCAAACTCACAGAGATCCCTGCCTCTGCCTCTGCCTCCTAAGTGCTGGAATTAAAGTCATGCACTGCCACCACTACCAACGGCTAGAAATTTCTTTTTAATTAGTGTTTATTTTATATGTATGGGTATTTGACCTCTATGTATGTCCATGTGCCATGTGCATTCCTGATGCTCTTAGACTAGGCCGCAAGAGGGTGTTAGCTCCCCTGGAACTTGAGTTACAGATGGTTTTGAGCCATGTGATTGCTAGGAATCATACATACCCAGGTCCTGTGGAAGAATAGCAAATGCTGTTAACCTCTGAGCTATCTCTCTGGTCTATTTAAAATTTTGTGTGTGGGGCTGGAGAGATGGCTCAGAGGTTAAGAGCACTCGCTGTTCTTCCAAAGGTCCTGAGTTCAATTCCCAGCAACCACATGGTGGCTCATAACCATCTATGAGATATGGTGCCCTCTGCTGCCTTGCAGGCACACATGCAGGCAGAATACTGTATAAATAATAAATTTTTTAAAAAAATAAAATAAAATTTTGTGTATATGCGAGCCCATGTGCTCCAAGGTTGGAGAACAACCGGCAGGCATCAACTCTCTCCTTCCACTATGTGTCCAGGAATCAAGTGGTCAGGCTTGGTGACAAGCAGCTTTACTGGCTGAGCCATCTTGCCAGGCTTTACCCAGAAACTTCTTGTAAAGACTTTTCTGTGAGTCAGGCAAGATGTGAAGGCCATGGCATGTAGGGTCTGCAGCGATAGCCTTTCATCTTTAGCACCCCAGCAGTAGACTTACAATATGTGATAAAATAGCTCCACCTCACTGAATCTGAACAAGAATCTGCCTGGATAAAGCTGCCTCCTCACATCCAGGGCACGCCAAGGCCTGGATTTACAAACTCAATTGTCAGGGCACCCAAAATGCCCTCCCCTTTGTTATATTCTGCACTCTAGAATCCTCTTCACAGGATTATTCTGTGTAGATCAGGCTGGCTTTGAACTCATAGAGACCCACCTGCCTATCTCCTGAGTGCCAGGATTAAAGACATGGCATCTTTACACATTCTTAACAGAGCACTTTGGAGTTGAAAATCCTTTCACTTTTACTGATCCCCAAATGGTAACTATTCATTTTAATCCATCCCAGGAATGAGAAGGCTTAGTCTATATTAGGAAGGGATGAGGGATACAGTGTAGAAGGAGTGGGGGTGGAACCGATCCTGTCCTGTCAGAGTGACGTGATCTCGCCCTCAGCAACTCTCATCTGTAGGGAAGAAAGGAATGGAAAGAGAATGCAGGCTGGCATGTAAAGAATCTTCCTCGGTAAAGATGTATCTGGGGGCTGGAGACATGGCTCAGCAGTTAAGAGCATGACCTGAGTCCCCGCACCCACACCAGGCTTCTCACAGCCACCTGTAAATCTAGCTCCAAGAATCCTATGCCTCTGGCTTCTGAAGACACCTACATGCACATGGCTTGTGTGCATCGTACAACACACAGAGTGTGTGTATTAATAATAAAATTTTTAAATAAAATAAATAATCAGATCCTTCCAGCATCAGAGGTAGGTCTCTTCTGAAAGTGTAGCTGGGCTGCCAGTGGACACTGTGATACTGGGAATGCCCACAACCATGAAATGTGAGGGGTCCAGTTTAATTTCATTCTTTTCATCTTCTTGCTGGTGAGTAAGCCTTGTGCTAGTCATTTTATTCGTTTTTGAGATAGAGCCTTATACTGTAGCCCAGGCTGGCTTTGAACTCTCAGCAGTCCTCCTTCTCAGCCTTCTGAGTGTGAGGATTACAGACTTGAGTTACCATGCCCAGCAACTGCTCGTTTCTATGTCGCTGTGAAACCAGTTTAAGGGAGGAAGGATTTGTTTCGGCTCACGTTTTCAAACCATTTTGATAGCCAGGAAGCAGAGAAAGAAGAGAGCAAGTTGGCTTTCTGCTCTCCCCCCTTTACTCTACCTAGAGCCCCCTCGTGCTGTCAGGGTAGGTCCTTTACCCTGAGATTAGTTTAGCTAATCTTCTCTGGAATTACTTGGACACACCCAGAGGTGTGCTTTACTAATCTCTCAGGCACTTCTCAAATCAGTCCAGATGTGGCACACAACATTCTACCCCTGAGCCTCTATCCCACCCCATTTTGAGACAAGGTCTAAATATGTAGCTTAGGTGAAGGCCTCAAACTGGAGATTATCCTTCAGAACCCCAGAATGTCGGATTATAGCTGTGAGCTACTATGCCTGTCTCGTTTAATCAAAGCTAATTTTAAAAGGATCCAGGATGGCACAGTAGAATTCTCAAAGCTATGATCAGACCAAAACTTCAAGTGTTCTGAACGGGCATAGGCTTTGGGGACTGTGAGTCTCACCTGTGGAACCTCAGTGATTGATGGAAGTGGTTCTCAGGCACTGCATGCTTATAGATTGTGGGGTCTGTATTCTAGGACAGCTGGGGATGAACGAGGCTCTCAGATTTCCCTCCCACAGTAGCCTGGGTCATTTTTCAACAGTCTCTGATTCAGTCTGTATTTTCACTGAATTTTCAGTTGGGAATGATTTACTAAGAAGAGAAAGCTGCTATATAGTGTGACGCATTTGTATGAAAGCACTGTTGGCTGTTTGTTTATTTTTGTGGTTGACAGCCAGGGGTGAAGGTTTGTTTGGGATATGGGACTGCAACCCTAGGCAGTGTCTGCTGCCTGGGCTCCAAGAGTTAACTGCAGCAGGCAGTGACGTCAGTCCTGATCTTTGCTCCTCTGCTCTTGAGCAACCTGATACTGCCGGCTGCTGAGGCCTGTGCTCATTGGCTGCTGGTTGCACTTGAAGTGGGCGGATTTTTTTCTCAATTAAGTAAAAGAGCAGGACTTAGCAGCCAGTGACAGCAAAGACGAGGCTTATCTTGGGCGAGTTTCCTGAAAACGCTGTCATTTCCCACCATTGGCTTCTGCCAGAACTTGCCCTGGCTGGTGGCTGAGCACCCAGTCTCACCAGCATGCTCTGCCTGTGCCTGTATGTGCCCATCATGGGGGAGGCCCAGACTGAGTTCCAATACTTTGAGTCAAAGGGGCTTCCTGCGGAGCTGAAGTCCATCTTCAAACTCAGTGTCTTTATCCCCTCGCAAGAGTTCTCCACCTACCGCCAATGGAAGCAGGTCTGTATGCTGAGCCTGTGTGCTGAGGGGCAGGCAGGGACTGGTTTTGAGGGAAAAATGAATGGTACCTAGGCATGACTTATGCCCAGAGGAAAGAATGTCTGAAATGTAGGTGTTTCCCCAGCCCTCTGTGGCTGTAGCCAGCAGTTCTACGTCACTGTCATGGGAATGACTGGTTTTTGTGTAATTTCCAAGAAAGGCTGGATTGGGAGGGAAGGCACTTGTTTGTGGAAGATGGAATTTCTGGATGGGAATCCTTTTCCTTGACTGAGATGGAGCCTCCTATAATGTACAGGGTGTCATAGAGGCCTGTGGCTGTCTCACTGCTATGGGAAGTTTCTGTGACTCGGGCACAGGCTAGAAGCACACTGAAGGAGAAGAGAGGGTAAGATAGAGGGCAGCCTTCCCTCCCAGACTTTAAAATGCTTCGGTGCCCCAGGGAGCAGGATGGCAACAGTGGTCCTGGCCCTTGTATGATGAGAAACTGAACTGTGGTTTTGGTGTTTGCTTTGATTGACTAAATTTCATGCTATTCCCTCAATATTAGAATGTTGTTTTATGCATTGCAGAATGGAGACACAGAGTAGGTCCCTGGCTGGCCAGGTACTCAAAGAGCTCTGCCTGCTCTGGCTTTCTAGTGTTAGAATTAAAGCCATGTACCACCATGCTTGACATTTCTTTAGAGAGGGTCTTGGTGTGTAGCCCAGAATGGCCTCAAACTCTCAGCAATCCTCCTGCCTCATTCTATCTAGTGCCAGGATTATAGGTGTGCACCATCATACCCACATATACATAGCAAGCTCTTTGAGAATGTTTTTAAATAGGGTACAGTTAGCACAGTTGTAGATGGTCTGTGTCATGGGGATAGATTACTTTGATGGCAGTCAACCTAGGGATGAGACACACACACACACACACAGAGTTCTGTATGCCCCCTCCCTAAATGGCATATAGACTTTTTCCTATCTACTTGAAATCTGGGGTGGTGGCCCATGGCTAAGAGCACAGAAGTTGGCAAGAAGTTAACATAATCCCAGCTAGCATCTGTCCCACATGCCAACCCCACCCCTCACACTGTTGGGTCCTAAGAATCTATGTCTGCTCTCCCCAAAAAAATTGGTGGCTATGGTACTAAGTGAGACAGAAGTCATAATGGCCACTCTTTGGGAATGCAAGGTAGCCATTGGTCCATCAGTTTCTAAACCCTAGCTGGCTCAAAACACTTTGACTTAGCTTGCTGATTTTGACGAGTAAATGAATTTGTCCATAAGAGAACCAAGGAACATTTTCCTTAGGAGAGTCTCTGTTTTGGATTCAAAGAGCCCTCCCAATAGATAAATAATGTAATTAAAAGGATTTGGTGGGGAGGAGAAGACTGTGACGGTCTCATCCTGTAATTCTGGCTAGCCTGGAATTCACTATGTAGAACAGGCTGGTCTTGAATTCACAGAGGTGTACCTGCCTCTGCCTCTGCCTCTGCCTCTGCCTCTGCCTCTGCCTCTGCCTCTGCCTCTGCCTCTGCCTCTAGAGTTCTGGGATTAAAGGTGCACACCACCACTCCTGGCTAAATGTAACTTAAAAGAAAGAGAGATAGAGAGAGAGAGAGAGAGAGAGAGAGAGAGAGAGAGAAAGAAAAGAAAGAAAGAAAGAAAGAAAGAAAGAAAGAAAGAAAGAAAGAAAGAAAGAAAGAAAACTGAAGTGCTACAGAATTGGAATGACCCATATTTTCCCCATGAGTTCCTGAGGTTAACTTTCAGGGTGGTAGTAGGACCTGTAGGTGGCTCGGAGTGCACATGATGGCCCTGGCCTCCTGTGAACACCATCTCTCTAACTGTTGTTTCTTGCTTTGTAATGTGGGAGAAGATGGGCTATACGTCTTAGAGCTAGCTGCTGGAGAGCCCTCAGTAAAGCCTTTGCACACCCCATACCCCAGGCTGAGTGGAGAAGCCCCAGCTACTTTGCATCCAACTGGCATTACAGCTGCCAAGCAATTCTCACCTAAGACAGATACTGCTGCAGGTCAGGGTCTCTTACAGCCTTAGGCCACTAAACTAGTAAAGCTGCCCTGGCCTTCAGTGCCTGCCTGGGAATCTGGGCTTGGTTATATCTGGTATCCCTGGACCAAGGCCTGGACTGGCAGTGCCATCAAGCATGAGCCCAAGAATAGTTGCCATTGGCTCCTCCTATCTGCTTCTACAGCTTCCGGAGTGTTCCCTGGCAATGTTTCTGCCAAGTAGGCATTGTCTGTACCTTTACCCTCATCACTAAATTGTTATTGGGCTAGTGCCACATAGAATGGAGCAAGTAGCAGAGTTCCTAAGGGAGTCTGGATTCCAAGGCTATCCCCAGCTCTCAGCCAGGAGCATGGGGCTGACTTCTGTTTCCAGGGACAGCCCTGCAGGGGAGCCAAGCTGCTGACCCTGGCTGTGTAACAAGCTGGTCTAGGGAATGTTTGGAAAGAGCAAGTACCAAGCTGCCTTGATGACCTCTCTGAAGGCTTTCTTATAGGAATGTGTCTCTTCACCCAAGCAGGGTAGGCTCTTGCTTGCCTTCTGGATAGCCTTTGGGAACCTAAGCAGTGGCTCTGGTGTGTGGGTAAATTGACATGATGCCACCTGATTCCCATGGGCTGGTATATCCTTAGAGATAGGATATCTTGGGTCATTGTGGAGAACAGTTATTTCCCTGTTGTGACAAGAGGCCTGTGAGCAAAACCTCAAGTCCTGACTTTGGTTTTCTAGAAAATTGTGCAAGCAGGTGACAAGGACCTTGATGGGCAACTGGACTTTGAAGAGTTTGTACATTACCTCCAAGATCATGAGAAAAAGCTGAGGCTGGTGTTCAAGAGTCTGGACAAAAAGAACGATGGTGAGTTTGGTTGTAGCTCCTCTGCTGGGCAGGCCTAGTTTACCAAATGCCACACCTCGCTCATAGATCTTATTGTCACAGGACGAATCGATGCTCAAGAGATCATGCAGTCCTTGCGGGACCTGGGTGTCAAGATCTCTGAACAGCAGGCAGAGAAGATTCTTAAGAGGTCAGTGTAAGCAAGCTCTGTTCTGTGGGTTGTTTTAATGGTTTTTGACTAATCCACATGCTGTTCACTGTTGACATGCTTCCCTGAAACTGGCCCTGCAGTTTGGAAGGAGGGATAAGAAGTCCCTTCCCAAAGCAAGGTTCTCCTGAGGTTGCAGCCCTACTCTCACATGAGGAGTTCCGAATCTGGAATTAGTCCATTTGCCAGCGACCCTTAAAAGTGACAAGCTTAGTTGTGGGTATTTCTCGTTAATGAGAAGTATCCCTGGAGCACTTTCTCTGCCTGATGGAGAGGGGCTTGTGCCATGTGTGGCCCTTGGCTTGGGTTGCTACTAGTGGCTTGCTACTAGTGGCTTGCTACTAGTGGCTTGCTCTTCAGTCTGAAGCTACAGATGCTGGCCAGAAAGATGGCTTGCTTGTAAGCAGGGGTCTGCCAGAAAGCCCTGTGACTAGAACAGTTTGTCCCTGTCTGGCCTTAGAGCTGGCTGGTCACAGGGACACAGCCCCAGGAGCCCAGTTCCACCTAGTTCCTCATGCTGTGCTTCCCCTAGTGTCCTTGGGTGTGCACTTGCTTTACTAACCTGCTCAGAGCATTTATTTGTGTTGTTTCTCCTTTCTCCTCCGCATCCTCCTTTGTCTGTCTGTCAGAATACGAACGGGCCACTTCTGGGGCCCTGTCACCTAGTAAGTATCTGTCACCCTGTGATTACCTCCCTCCCTATCAGAATGGGGTTCTTGTGGGCCACCATATCTTCATTTTGTGGAAAATGGGGCATGGAGTCACCTTACCCTTTCTCATGGGCAAGGTGCCTTTGGTTTTCTTGGTGGCCTCGGCACTCACCTTCATCCCATCCCAGTGGTAGGGCACACAGCTGGCAGGTGGGTGTGACACATGGGAGTGACGATGCCTCTGCTTTACAGCATGGATAAGAATGGCACAATGACCATTGACTGGAATGAATGGAGGGACTACCACCTCCTGCACCCTGTGGAGAACATCCCTGAGATCATCCTGTACTGGAAGCATTCGACGGTGAGGCCACACACCCCACCGTCTATTCAGCAGCCTTCTTTGTCTGGTATCAGTTATTCCTTCCCCATACAGGCCTGGGTGGGGGTCCTGATGACACAGTGAAACGTATCATCTCTTTTGCCAGGCACATGCTCCTCCTCTTCCCATACAATGACCAGCCTGAACAGCATGACTATTCCCTTGACCCTTTGCTGGGAGTACCTTCCTATACCCACATGCCACTGCCCTTCATGGTCCATCCTAAATATCTCTTTTCCCCATGCTGCTGTTTCTCGCAGAAGCATACAGTCTGTCTTTGTGGGATGAGGGAAGAAACCTTGCTACAGAAGCCTCTGCCTTCCCTGGGTTTATTTTTTAGTATCATTTCTCTCTATGTCAAAAATACATATTCTGGCTGAGACAGAGGAGCATTAAAGGCCAGCCTGGGTTACAGAATTTGACTCTGGTTGTTTGCATTTTGTTTTTAATAAGCATGCCCTTATAAGGGGCCTACATACTGATTTTTCACTCTTATCATGGGTCCCCATTCAGGAATGTAGATGTGGTTCACAGTTAGAAATGTTGGTCTGACTTAACACTCCTTCCCAAGACTTCTTATGTTCATGGCTGGGCTGCCCCTGCCTTATCCACCCCGCACTCACAGTGGCAGGTCAGGGCTTCTAGGGTGAAAGTAAGATTCTAGGGTTCAGAACAGCTATCCTGTCTCTGGCCTGAAGCCCAGAGGTCACAGAGTCTGCTGGGACCACTTCCAAAGAGAAGGTTTTACGCAGGCAGCACAGGACTCTGTTTGCTGAGACCTTGCATAACATTCTGTTCTGCTGGCAGTCTGATTCCGTATCAGGTTGCAAGGCTTGTACCCATCTTCCCTGATCCTTGTGGTCCAGCCTTGCAGTCCTTGCTGGGAGTTCCAGGAGCTTCCTTTAAAAGGACAACGCAGCAGCTTTGTAACATTCTATCTGATCATTAACTGCTCCTGTCTAGACCATGTACAAGGTCAAGAGCTGCAGCCACTGTCAGAGCAAAGGGAAAGTTCCTTGATGACCTCACACAGATGTCATGAATAAAGTTGGCTATGTGTCTGCTTGTCTTCTCCGTAGATCTTCGATGTTGGTGAGAATCTGACAGTTCCAGATGAGTTCACAGTGGAGGAGAGGCAGACGGGAATGTGGTGGAGGCACCTGGTTGCAGGAGGTGGGGCAGGGGCAGTTTCCAGAACCTGCACTGCCCCCCTGGACAGACTGAAGGTGCTCATGCAGGTGAGCAGGAAAGTGGGCAGATTTTTACCCATGGTTCATTACTGCCTCAGCTTTCCCTCCTTCCTTCCCTCCCACAGCTGGGGCCCTGCTTTAAAAACCCAAACTTCCCACCCCAGCTAATGGAGTTAATGCTTTGCAAGCACCAGTAGATCTAGGCCTAGGAGATCTCGTGTTTAGCTGCCCTAATTTTATCTGAGATACATAAGCTGTGTATCACCTTATATGGGCTTGATACTTGTAGAGTGGCAGGACCTGAGTTCCTCAAGCACATCTTAAGATGTCATGGAGAGCAGGGTGAACAGATCCTTGCATGACCCAGAGGCCATTAGGAAGCAGTGTCTTTACCTTGGCTGAGCATGCAACTCCACGTCCACAGGGCAGAGATAAGCTTGTCTGATGTCAGGGAAGCATTGTGAAATGACCCACATATGGACATTCATGGACTTTGATGTCTGTCTGAACAGTGACCAGTTACCCCATTTTGCTCCTGTCTGGCACTTTTTGTGCCAGGAGGCCTACCTAGAAACAACACACACATATATACGCACACACACGTAGAGGCCTACCCAATAACATCACACACACACACACACACACACACACACACACACACACACACACAC